TTATTTGAGCCTAAGCTTTCGTGGGCTACAGCCCACTTCTTCGGATGCATAGAATGGAACATATATTGAGGAGATATATACACATACAGAGAGCATGAAAAGGTGGGAGTTGTCTTACCAACTCTGAGAGGCCAATTAAGTAAGTAAGTTTTTTTTTTTTTTCTCCTCCTTGGTATTTTGTCACCTCAATATATGTTCCATTCTATGCATCCGAAGAAGTGGGCTGTAGCCCACGAAAGCTTATGCTCAAATAAATTTTTTAGTCTCTAAGGTGCCACAATTACTCCTGTTCTTTTTGCGGATACAGACTAACATGGCTGCTACTCGGAAAACTGATAACATAAGTGTGCATGTTACATCTCCACTTCTGGTTGTTCTTAGGGTGGTGTTACAGGGCCAGAGTTAGAGTTGTTCTGGTGATCTGAATTCTGTATTTCCATAGTTTATCATTTTTCTGACGTGCATCTTAGCTTTCCATGTTTCCATTTCCATGTTTTCCAGTTTTTGGAGGAAGCTACGCTGAAGAATGAGTCTTCAGTTTTTGTACGTTACTTAGTAGAATACTGTACAACTCTTTATGATTATTAGTTGTTACATTCAGTAGTGCCCAAAGATTCCAACTAAGGTTGGGATCCCTGTATACTAAGTATTGTATGAACACACAGTCCCTGGCTCCCTATTGTATAGAAGCCCTGAACCTCACTTCTCCAGCTCCCTTAAGGGATGCTTTCCTTTACTTCAATGCTTTCCCAATCCATTTGATCTGATAACCATATCCCTTCCCTAATGAGTACATGCACTGGACATCTGCCACAAGAAGGCACCAGCAATTATGTGTGGTTGCCTCCCTTCCACCTCCACCAGGTTCCCAGATATTCACTGATTCCTTCCTTAGTATCAGACAAAAATATATCTAACCCTCAATCGGATAGATGTACCCCATCCTCCTTTAATAACTCAGGTGCCTAGTAAGATACATTCGGATATGGAATTACCCATCTCCCTTGGTAATGTCTGTATTTTATCACCTCCATATTTACATATCTCCTGGTCTTATCCATCCAGGGAGGCTTCACTGCACCACACCAGACTCTGCCCTGCAACATGTCAACCAAATATTCTTGGATCTTCCCCAAATTCCTCTGACCTTTGTTTATCCGATCCAGGTGATAGAGAGAGCTTCTCCGGGACTGCACCGGGTATAAATGCTGCCCCCTCTTCCAGTCAACAGCAAAGGCATACCCTCCCCTTTCCAGTCCAGCCATTTTCTGTGTGAAAAAATACTTTCTTGTGTTTGTTTTAAACCTGCTACCTAGTAATTTCATTTGGTGGCCCCTTGTTCTTGTATTATGAGAAGGAGTAAACACTTCCTTATTTACTTTCTCTATACCACTCATGATTTTATAGACCTCTATCATATCCCCTTAGTCGCCTCTTTTCCAAGCTGAAAAGTCCCAGTTTTATTAATCTCTCCTCATACGGAAGCTGTTCGATACCCCTCATCATTTTTGTTGCCCTTTTCTGAACCTTTTCCAATTCCAATATATCTTTTTTGAGATGGGGTGACCACATCTGCACACAGTATTCAAGATGTGGGCATACCATGGATTTATATAGAGGCAATGTGATATTTTCTGTCTTATTATCTACCCCTTTCTTAATGATTCGCAACATTCTTTTCGATTTTTTGACTGCTGCTGCACATTGAGTGAATGATTTCAGAGAACTATCCACAATGACTCCAAGATCTCCTTCTTGAGTGGTAACAGCTAATTTAGACCCCATCATTGTATATGTATAGTTAGGATTATGTTTTCTAATGTGCATTACTTTGGATTGATCAACATTAAATTTCATCTGCCATTTTGTTGCCCAGTCACCCAGTTTTGTGAGATCCTTTTGTAGCTCTTCGCAGTCTGCCTGGGACTTAACTGTCTTGAGTAGTTTTGTATCATCTGCAAATTTTGCCACCTCATTATTTACCCCTTTTTCCAGATCATTTATGAATGTATTAAATAGGAGTGGGCCCAGAACAGATCCCTGGAGGACACCACTATTTACTTCCCTCCATTCTGAAAACTGATCATTTATTCCTACCCTTTGTTTCCTATCTTTTAACCAGTTACCAATCCATGAGAGAACCTTCCCTCTTATCCCATAACTGCTTATTTTGCTTAAGAGCCTTTGGTGAGGGACCGTGTCAAAGGCTTTCTGAAAATCTAAATACACTATATCCACTGGATCTCCTTTGTCCGCATGCTTGTTGACCCCCTCAAAGAATTCTAGTAGATTGGTGAGGCATGATTTCCCTTTACAAAAACCATGCTGACTATTTTCCCAACAAATTATGTTAATCTATGTGTCTGACAATTTTGTTCTTTACGATAGTTTCAACCAATTTGCCCGGTACTGAAGTGAGGCTTACTGGCCTGTAGTTGCCAGGGTCACCTCTGGAGCCCTTTCTAAAAATTGGTGTCACATAGCTATCGTCCAGTCATTTGGTACATAAGCTGATTTAAATGAAGCTGATTTAAATGATAGGCTACAGATGATAGTTAGTATTCCTGCAATTTCACATTTGAGTTCCTTCAGAACTCTTGGGTGAATACCATCAGGTCCTGGAGACTTATTAGTGTTTAGTTTATCAATTTGTTCCAAAACCTGCTCTAATGACAGCTCAATTTGGGACAGTTCCTCAGGTCTGTCACCCAAAAAGAATGGCTCAGGTTTGGGAATCTCCCTCAACAGTGACGAGTGATGCAAAGAATTCATTTAGTTTCTCCGCAATGTACATGTAAATATTCCCCCTTCATCCATCTCTGCTACCACTTGCAGGGGGAGCTCTTAAAGAGGCAACAACCTCTTTTCTTCCAGCTAGCTGGACAAGGATCCACTGCACCACAGTGGTGGTGAGCACATTATCCAGAATACAAAAAAAAAAAAATACAATATCCTCTTAAATGCTTTTTCATGAAGTGACTGTATTTTCTCTAATGGGCTTAACTTGCTTAGTTATCATGACCACATATCCAGGGGCGGCTCTATGTATTTTGCCGCCCCAAGCACAGCAGTCAGGCGGCTTTCAGCGGTGCGCCTGCGGGAGGTCCGCTGGTCCCGCGCCTTCGGCGTACCCGCCGCCAAATTGCCGCTGAAGCCGCGGGACTGGCGGACCTCCCGCAGGCATGCCGCTGAAGGCAGCCTGACTGCCACCCTCACGGCGACCGGCACGCTGCCCCCCACAGCTTGCTGCCCCAGGCACGTGCTTGGTGCGCTAGTGCCTGGAGCCGCCCCTGCAAATATCTGTCTCTGTCTGTCTCAGATATTTAGAGCGCGCCAATCATCAGCATAATCTAGGTGTCGTGTGAGTATGTGTATAATAAATTTAGTGAGTGTATGTCTGTGTAGGTTGGCATTAATACAACATTAAAGCAAAAAAGTAAAATACTTGTCAGGAAATTCTAAAGGTTAAGGTTTCTACCTCATTGTTAACTTGTCTTCACTGTAAATCAGGTATATTTTATGGTATGCCATAAGTTTAAAAAAACAAAACACAGTATTCAAAACCAAATATAGCATTCAAATTTAACAAAGAAATGAGGATGAGAAGTTGCCACATGTGTGCAATGCAGGTGAGTTCATGTGTAGTAGAAACGTTAGCTTTGGGAGTATCTGAACTTTTAACTTTATGTTAAGGGTCATTCTATTTTTTCAATTAATTTTCCTGTTGTATTTTTTTAAAGAAAATGCCAAGAACAAAGTGAAAAACAGTTATAATGCTTTAAACAATAGCTTGGGTCTCCTGAAGTAGTTAATGCGATGAATCTCAGTAGTACTAAATACCTTTAGAGCCACCATAGTGCTACTGAGCTGTTTTAGCCAGTCCACCTTTAAATGGTTCTAAATTGAGGGAGGTCATTCCTACTCTGTCAAACTTGTCTTGTGTTGAGAGAATACATAACTGAGATGTTAGAACTTTAGGCATCCCTAAGTAAGGGATCTTAAATGGTCCAAGGGTAAATGTATTGGTTAAAACAGATTCCAGTGTGCAAGTGGAAGAATGCTAACTGTAAGAGGCATATTCTCACCTGCCTTTTGTTGCACAGGTGCAAACAAGACCATAGATATCTAATATCTAATATTTGCACTTGCAATGAATTGTGGGCACAAAATTTCCAGCAAGATTATTTGCATGTCCAAAATTGCACCTGAGGCCAGTGCTAAATATTGGACCGTAAATTTCATAACTTTAAAAATATTGAACTGATTGTTTTCATCTGGAGCGTCACCCAGTGCGGTGCCAATTGCCTCTCAGTAGGTGCCTCAGACTTGAATGAGAAGCTTTTGTATTGTGTTTTCTTCCTCGGTGAGGACTCAGAAATATGCCAGCGTTAAAGCTTTTTACAAGTGCAAATAGTTCAGTCTGAACAATCGGGAAAAGTATAATTTTTTTTTATGCATAACTCAAAAAGCTGCTGAAACTTCTTGGAAAAAAATAATCTTGTGGCTTCAACCAGGCTTGGAAAATGTTATCCCAAGAAGAATTTAAGAAAGTACTTTTGAGCAGTTGAGGAGGGAGGTTGGAATAGAATGGAAAGCTCATTTCAACTCCAATTATATTGTTTGCTGTGGTGAGTTCTATGTTTCTGCAAGTTGAACCTCCACTGTTTTGAAAAATGGTAGGCAAAAGTATGAAACTAGTTCATATTAATATTTCTAGCAGATTTGTATTCTCATAGTGCTCTGCTTGAACCTGATACAGAGTTTGTTGAAGAGGATCTGCAAGAGCTGCTGGTAGAGTGTCCATTGAAATGCTCATAGGTGTATATCAGATACAAGAGTAAATCAAGTATAATAGCATCTCTTCCATTCAAGTTTGCTGAAATCAGGTTTCACCCTAAATATTATGAGACTTTTGAAACAAAGGAATCTGGTTTGATGTGATATAAGACTACTTTGACATTCCGTCATGAACTTTTTTCCTTAAATATACTTTTTTGCAGTGGCTTTGCCTCCAGAGAAGACAGATGGAGTTTGCAGTGGAGATGAAAAGAAAGCTGGGAAAGAAAGTGACACACGTACAAGTTCCAGGAAACAACTAAAATTTGAAGTAAGTCCCTCATTTTCGAATGTTGAAATATATTGATACAAATAAGTTAGATAAATAGCCTATGGGACAAATACGGCCATCAATTGTCTGTGCAATTCTCATTGATTGCATTGTACATCAGGTTGATGTACATCAGAGAGCAGGATTTGGCCTTGAGTCTCTATTTTCCTATTTGCCTGGCTATTGTTCCCTAAGGGGTGGTTAGCAAGTTTTGTTCTAATGTCAAATAAAGCCTAATGATGATGAGTTCTTCACCGCAGCTGGAGTATATGGTAAGGAGATTCTGACGTTGCTCTGTACTTGTGAGCTTTTCAAATATAACTTCATGTGCCACTCACTATGTTATCAAATCCTTATATTGGCTTTTGTAGACTATCATACTCAGTTCAATCTGCCTAGTGTAAAAGATATTTGTGAAAGGTGCCTTAGCCAGCAGTCTTTCATGTCTGGGCCTCCAGAATGAAATAACCTGGACCTACATTGGCAATTCATCTGATTAGATGGAGGGGGAATAAAGATCCTGAGGGGAATTCATCTGATGGCCTATTTCCTTGTAGACTTATAAACATCATAAAACTGCCAGACATTGTGCATAGTTGGCAGGTTTTGCTTATAAAGAGAGAGATTTAATAAATATGAGCACTGAAACATGCTGTCATCCAGCTAGAGAGTTGTCTGTCTTTCTTGGCGAACAGGGAGGCACATTGGTACCGGCAGAACAGCAAGCATTTCATCTCTCTGTACTCCAGCAGACGTGGCAAACTTCTGCCTTTCAGAGCTGTCAGTCTGTCATGTTAATGAGCTTTGCATTCATCAATTATTATGTAAAAGACCATCTAGCCATCTTGTAATGTTACTGGAACATTCATTTGCTTCTCTGGAGAAGGTTTGGTAGCCCCGTGCAAATTACTTTTTACTGTTTTAAGGTCGGCTTTTCCATGAGAAATGCAAGTATTCCTGTGATCTTAGTCACGTTGACAGATGTCTGTCTTTCTTTCTTTCTTTTGGCAGATTTTATACTCTACCTTGAATAATGGACATTTCACACACGTGAAAGACATGGCAAATTACAGTTAACAGTGCCCTGATGCTTGAATGTTGGTGGACACCTGGTGCCAGTTTAGCTGGAACTCTACCATACCAGTAAAGACTATGTTTGTTCCCAAGTAGTTCTTGGCATGCCACAAAGGTTAGCACTTGGTACTGGGCTCCATGACTAATGCAGGGAAGATTGCCATGTTATTAACTAAGCAGGGCACATCCTCACATAAAGATCGTAGACAGTATGGGACAGGGAACTATTAATATGTGGCAAGAAACCAAGTATTGATAGTTTTCCCTTGTTCTCCGAATCAAAGCTTTCTAACCTTGTAAGCTAGGGGCTAGGAGAATGGTAAATCTTTCATTTTATGACCAGGTATAAAAGAATCAGAAATGCAAGTGTTGAGAGGAGAGGTCTAAATCTGAGGTGGATGTGATTTGGCTTTTAAAGGGGCTGGGAATGTTTGTGTAATATGAAACTGTGTTTCCACAGTAGAGTGTGGGGCACTTGGCAGCTTTCAGACGGGCTTGTTACAACAGAGAGAAGACTGCCTTTGAACTCAGCAGGGGTTGGGGGTACTGTTAACTGCTGTAGGGAATTGGTTTCAAGTCAGCAGATCAACCAGGTATTTTGAGCTCTATCATGCTGAAGCTATTTGGAGCTGTTTATTTTACTTACATACAGTGGCTTTTATTTTAATTGTGCTGTAACTTTTCTGTTTGCCTTTTGTGACTTTGGTTGACTCGGATTGCACAGGTCTCGAGAGAAAGCAAGCGGCTTGCAACTAGGTGACTGGAGTAGGTCAAAGTGCGTCTTTTTTTCTTGGTGTGGTGTTGCTGGTTTTCTTTATATACATTGATTGTTGTAGGCTGTCTTCAAGTCACTCTCTCACTAGCAGGAGCACAATTTATGTTCTGTTGCCTGATCCTTACTTTGTCTGTGGTAAGGGATTCTTACCTCTCAGTTCCGAATCAAGTTCCATTTCTGTAACTTCGGTAGCATGAAGAGGTACCGAGGTTGCCAAAGTTAATAATGTACATTAAGTATCTGTGTCAAGAGCAAGTTTTACCAATGGGGGTTAATACCATGCGTCCATTTTGTATTAATGGCCACTTCTGATTCAGTGGCATGATGCCTCATACTGTGGGTCTGTTTCTGCCATCTCTTTATTTTCTCCCTGAGTTACGTGGAGTTTTTCTTTCTGACTTTTTTTAGTGGGAAATCTTATATTCTGTTCTAAGAACTTCAGCAGGCAGCTTTCTCATATTTCTGTATTTTGTACAAGTAAAAATAGAAAGTGTCTGTCTGTTTCCAAGAAGTTTAGCCCAAGGGTTTTAGGAAAGGAACCTTCATGTCATGAGACTCCAGTGCAGTGGACAGAAGCTTACAAGGAACAAATCCTAAATGCCTCTCCCCAGGAGAAAGGAAGGAATAAAGAGAACTGCTTCTTTTTTACAGAGAAACTGAGCCTCTTAGGCAAGCACGCCTTTTGCTTTAGGTAATCAGTTGCTCTTTGCATGTTTCTTAGGAATTGCAATGTGATGTGTCTGTAGAGGAAGATAACAGGCAAGAATGGACCTTCACACTGTATGACTTTGATAACAACGGAAGAGTCACACGTGAGGTAAGCAAAGTATAGCTGCCCCTTTGTGTACAGCATTTGCTAACAAGAGAAGTGTTTTATAACAGGAACATTTTTTTCTCCTATGAAGTAAACATGTCCTGCCAACTTCAACAGCAGTTTCCATGGACCCTTCCCTCTCAGAAACAACCCCACCAATAGTTTACTGGTTTTGGAATTACCGTACCACCTTTTAGGCTGGTTGCTGTTTAGTGTCTGGGACTAGCCTTTAAAAGAAATAGTACTGGCATTTGAGGGGGGGAAGATCGGAAACAATTGAATCTCCAAACACATTGTCAAAACAAGTCCCTGCAAATCCCTGTTCAGTCTCCTGTCCCATTTTTCATAGTTCAGCTAACCAAATAGCAAGTTTGCTTTTGGAATTTTGTTCCCAATAGTACTGACTGTACCATTCTGTCCCTTTCATGAGCGTTGGGCAGAGATCTGTGCTGCTATCTCTTTCAAATTATAGACTCTCCCTCATAAACCTTGTGACAGTTACTGCAGCACAGCAGTCAGTGGCTATCTGTAGAAGATGTATCCATACTAAGATTTTCAGGATGCATTCATGTTCCTAATAAATAAGGGAACCCATCACAGTATAAGAACATGGACAGAGTGCAGTCATTTTTTTCAAAATGTACTAACCAGAATGAATCCCACTTCATGGAAAGTGTTTTCTTCTTTGAGTGCTTGCTCATGTCAGGTGTGTGCACTGCGTGCACTATTGCTGGAGATTTTTCCCTTAGTGGTATCAGTTGGGCCGGCTCTAGCACCCTCTGGAGCTGCATGCTTATGTGCCAGTATAAGGGGCACTGCCAGCCCCACACCTTCTCAGTTCCTTCTTACTGCCCGCTCTCTTCCAATCCCACCAACCCCAATGGGGCACCTATCAGCTCTGGCGTCTGGAAGCAGGAGGGAACAGGGTGCGTCGGGCACCCTCCTGGCACCATGTAGGGGCAAGCACTACCTGATCCCAGTGTCCTGATCTCTGGCATGCCACTTGTCTCTGGCACCCTGCCACCATATGGAGGAAGAAGTGGGTACTGCTCCACCCTGGGTGCCAAGAGAAGAATCATCTTCAGAGACTGTATTGGCGTGTCCTCTCACCACGAGTGGTCCCATCACTCGGAGGTCACCAGATTCATCTTCCAAAAGTGGGGGCCTCCCCAGGTGGACTTGTTCGCCACCAGGCAGAACAGAAAATGTCATCATTTTTCTTAGCTGTGCGGGCATGGCCTGAGCTCCCTCTCTTGATGCCTTCCTGATCTCATGGGCAGACCACCTACTGCCTTTCCCCCAACTCCCATGGTTCACAAGGTTCTTCTAAAAAATCAAACAGGACAAGGTAAGAGTTGTCCTGATAGCACCAGCATGGCCACGCCAGCATTGGTTTGGCACACTCCTGGATCTCTCGGTTGCAGCCCCACTCTCGCTCCCACTCAATCTGGACCTGATTTCACAAGACCATGGCTGGTTACTTCACCCGAACCTCGCCTCCCTGCACCTAACTGCATGGATGCTGCATGGCTGAACAGGCCTGCTCAGAACAGGTTCAGCAGGTCTTGCTAGGTAGTAGAAAGCCTTCCACCAGGGCTATGTACTTGGCCAAGTGGAAACATTTCACTTGTTGGGCTTCCGAACGTGATCTCTCTCCATCTCGATCTTCCCTTAAGTCTATCTTGGACTATTTGCTGCATCTAAAACAACAGGGCTTGGCCCTGTCATCTATTAAGGTGTATTTGGCAGCCATCTCAGCCTTCCAGCCCCCAGTGAATGGCAGATCAGTGTTCTCCCGCGAAATAACGGTCCGGTTTCTCAAAGGGTTGGAAAGACTCTGTCCTCAGGTTCGCGAACAGACCTCCTCCCCCATGGGACTTAAACCTGGTCCTGTCGAAGCTCATGTGTCTCTCCCCTCCCCTCTTCCCCCTCTTCCCCCCCCACCACGAGCCATTAGCATTGTGCTCCCTGCTATTTATCTCCTGGAAAGTTGCCTTCTTGGTGGCGATCACCTTGGCCAGAAGGGTCTCTGAGAACCTTACATGCATCAGAACCTTACATGGTGTTCTTCAAGGACAAGGCCCAACTGCGCCCCCATCTGGCCTTCCTGCCAAGAGCAGTGTGTCAATTCCATAACAACCAGGTCACATTCCTACCTGTCGTCTTCCCAAAACCTCACAAGAACTCTGAGGAACGACGGCTTCATTCACTGGATGTTAGGTGGGCCCTGACCTTTTAATTTGAGAGAACTAAACCCTTCCGCAAATCCACGCAACTCCTTATAGCAATAGCAGAAAGGATGAGAGGGCTACCTGCGTCAACCCAAAGGATCTCATCCTGGATAACCACCTGTATTCCGGCTTGCTACGATCAGGTGAACGTCTTGCCTCCACCCATCATAACTGCTGATTCCACAAGAGCCCAAGCTTCGACAGCAGCATTTCTTGTGGAGGTCCCAATCCAGAGCACCTACAGAGCCGCGACCTGGTCTTCGGTGCATAACTTCATGTTCCACTACGCCATGACCCAACGGGCCCGAGACAACGTCAGTTTTGGAAGAGCAGGGTTGCCATCAACACGTCCATAAACTCCGAGCCCACCTCCTAGTGTACTGCTTGTGAGTCATCTAGCATGGAAAGAGCAAGCACTCGAAGAAGGAAAAACAATTACTAACCTTCTGTGACTGTTGTTCTTCAAGATATGTTGCTCATGTACACTCCATGACCCACCCTACTACCGCTCCAGAGCGCACTTGAGCTGGCCCAACGGATACCACTAAGGGAAAAATGCTCCACAATGATGCATGAGGCGCTTACACGCCTAGCACGGAATGGACATGAGCAACGCATCTCGAAGAATAGTAGTTACGGAAGGATAGTAACTTAGATTTTTACTTAGATTTAATGCATCACTGATTATTTGCAAAGTCTTGTTCACTGGCATCTGTGTCTTTAAACGATCAGCTGCAGGCTTCATTCTCCTTTTGCTTTTAAGTCAATATCTTTAAAAATTAGCAAGACTTGAGTGAACAGGACTAAGAAAAATACTGAAAACTTGGAGGTAATAGACAAGAAATGGTGCTAGGAGTTGTCCACGAGACTGAAGTGGAATTTCTTTTTGTGTTCACAGTCAAACTGTCTGCCAAATGAGGTTATTGTGCAGGTTTTTGAGAAGAATATCTAAAAGGAGAACCATTACTAAGATTTATTATTGTATATTATGGCAGCACATAGTGTACTCAAATAAAATCTGGACCCCAGTGTGCTAGGCACCGTGAATACACATAGTAAGACACAGTCCCTGCCCCAAAGAACTTAATATCTAAATAGATATGAGAGAGAGAAGAAGTATTATTCCTATTTTACAGATGGGGAGCAGAGGTACAGAGCAATTAAGTGACTTGCCCAAAAACATGCAAGAAATCTGAGGTAGAGCTGGGAATGGAACCCAGATCACCTGAGTCCCAGGCCTGTGCCTTAACCACAAATGGAAGAATACTCAGGGATGTCCCTTATGCCCATGGCTGGAATTCCCATTAATGTCATCAGGAGTTCCATGTGCTGAACATGCATACAATAATTATCTGTGATTTTTGTGGTACACCAGAGAGCTTAATTTGACTGTACTTAGAGAATGTTTTGCAGCCAAATTCTAACTCTGCCTACAAGAACAGACAGCATATTAACTGAAACCAAATCTGTGCAGGGATTGAGGTCTGGAGGTTTGCTATATTCAGTCCTGAATCTGTGCCAAATATTTGTCTTTTAGCCCAAGGGACCAAGTAGGCTGATAATTTGCAGTTCTTCACATATGACCATGGCTAGAAACCAAGACTGTATACCAATGGAAAGCTTTCCAACTGTTTACAACACTTGTTTTTGTCCCAGTAGGTTGCAAGATTCTGAATCTTAAAATTGTCATTTGGATTATCCATCTTACTTGTTGTATGATTTTAATGGTGGTCACTGTTACATAAATAACTCGAGATAGAGACCCCGGAAAGCTACGAATTCCAGTTTTCAAATGGCCTACAACTTCTCATTCTAGTGGGTCTTGAGATATGGCTGTCACAATAATGGGCTTGATCCCGCGGTCTGGTGAGCATCTTGCCCCTGATCCAGCAACACGTTTAGCATGTGCTTAACTTTGAGTATGTGAATAGACCCATTAAAGACAAAGGACGCATGCTTAAAGTTTAAGCATATGCTTAGTGCCTTGCTGGATCGATGACAGGATGGTCAGAGCATTGCAGGATCAAGCCCAATGTGAGGAAGATTGTTGCCTTCTAACAATGCTTGTTTGGCAGATCAGTGCAAATGCTTTCCGGACCAGTAAACTTTTCCAAACAGTGGTCCAGAACCGGTGATCAAAATAATATCACCATTCCCCACCCCCATTTGCTGTGAAGTTTTAATTGGAGTGATCCTGGATTTGTTGTTGATTTTAATAGTAGGATAACATTTTATTTCATTCTGGAAAAGAAATTCAGAATGTAATTTATTGTGTCCAGGTGTTTGGGCCCACCATCTTAGAGTATCTGACTATCTATGAAACATCTCAGTTTAGTTGGCAAGCTATCCATGTTGTTGTTTTGTAAAATGAACTTTGTACAATCACAGTGTTGCATACTTAATCTGAACACAATTCAGAAGGCCCAGGACAAGATTGTGAAAAGAGATTTAGTGATTTTGATAGCCACAGTTTTTCAGTGCCCAACTGAGATGCTTTTAAAGGGCCCCTGATATTCAATGTGTAGGGATTCAGCAACCTTTACATCTCTTTCAGATGTCTCAAACTGGGCGTGCGGAATCAGTAATTGCTTTTGGAAATCTTGGCCCTTATGTCCAGAGTGTTTCTAAATGGTATATACAGAGTGAAAATGAATTCAGTGAAAGTCATTGAGATGGAGTGCAACTTTTGTTAATGGGCTAAACATCTTTTGCATTAAAATGACTGTATTCATTTTGAAAATTCTAAACAGGATGGGGATTTGGGAACTAGAT